AGATCAGGAAGAAAATGCAAGTGAGGATTCAGTGAGTGAAAAAAGTGTTTCTAAGAGTAGTCCAGTGAAATAATTCATTGGATGTAGGCTAGCATTGAAAAGTTTGAGGTCAGTAAAGACATTTATAATATTACAATAGATTTCCATTTCAGATAAATGCCGTTCTTTTAAATTTTCTATACTTAAAAGAATCCTGACAAAAAAAGTATCACGTTTTTCACAAAAATATGAAGTTTCACAGCTGTTTTCAATATTGATAATTTATATAAATAATTAAATACTTTCTTGACAGAAAATTAACATATTAGAATGATTTCTGAAGAATCATGTGGCACTGAAGACTGGAGAATGATGCTGAAAATTCAGCTTTGCATCACAGGAATAAATTAAATTTTAAAATATATTTAAATAGTGCACAGTTATTTTAAATTATAATAATAATTCACAATATTATGTCTTTACTGTATTGTTTATAAAAATAAATACAGCCATGGTGAGCCCTATGAGACTTTCTTTAAAGGGGTCATTGGATGCCCAGTTGATATGATTCTTCAGGGTCTTAATGAAAAGTCTATAACATACTTTGGTTAAAATTGATCAATGGTAGTGTAAAAAACACCCTTTTTACCCTGTCAAAATTAGCTCTGTTTTCAGCCAGCTGTTTTTTTAGTCCATGTCGCTTTAAATGCTAATGAGCTCTGCTGACCCCGCCCCTCTCTTCCGTGGGGTGACCAGCAGATTGTAAACTTCAGCCGCGAAACTGGCTAACTAGCACATTATTAGGAAAGGCGATTTGCAAAGATTCATAAAAAACCCTTATACTCACTTCTTCTGTAGATGAAGCTGGATCACGAATGATTCGTGCAAACATAGACGCATTTAGGCAGATCGGGATCGGCGCATTCCCGAAAACACCTCAGTTGCTTAATCTGAGACATTCTTGTCTTCCCCTCACCGGAGTCGACACAATGACGGACAGCTCACAGCTCACTCAGGGCGGGACTTAAGGTAAGAGGGCCTTGTCAATCAACTGTCGTGGGAGGGGCCTGTGCAGAACTACGCCATTCTGACAGGAATCTCAGAACAGCCTGATTTGAGAAAAGGGATTTTAAAATAGATATTTTAAAATAAAACACTGGCTGGATGTTTATCATTATAGGATGGATGTGTACACACACTTCCAACACACATTTATGTTCAAACAACTTGTAAAGTGAATTTTGCATCCGATGACCCCTTTAAATTTCTGTGATGATATGCTGGGTAGCTGTGTCCGTAGGTGAAATATCATCGGACAGCTCACAGCTCACTCAGGGCGGGACTTAAGGTAAGAGGGCCTTGTCAATCAACTATCGTGGGAGGGGCCTGTGCAGAACTACGCCTTTCTGACAGAAATCTCAGAACAGCCTGATTTGAGAAAAGGGATTTTAAAATAGATATTTTAAAATAAAACACTGGCTGGATGTTTATCATTATAGGATGGATGTGTACACACACTTCCAACACACATTTATGTTCAAACAACTTGTAAAGTGAATTTTGCATCCGATGACCCCTTTAAAAAACAACCCCAAATTAAAAAAAAAAAAAGTGTAGTTGTGAGAGCTAAATATGTTTCAACAACACAGTATTCATCACTCACTATGACAGATTATGGTCATTTATATTGCTGCCTCTGTTTGGAACAACATCAAGGTGAATAAATGACTGAATTTTCATTTTTGCATGAACTGTTCCTTCATTAACGGTGCAGGTTTTTGCTGAAAGCAAATTCTTATGGAATGAGAGCTGTTACCTATAACTTTGAAAGAAGAGGTTACATGAAACTACCAAAAACTGATATTTTTTTGTCTTGTTACTGTGAAATGAAGTGATCCAGGCTGAGGGTTTTACCTCTTGGACAGGGACTGAGGACAACAGCAAAAGACATTTGTCAGGACATCCCTGTGTCCAGCGTTATGTGTCAGGCAGTGTGAATAGCTTAATGTCTTTCTTCTTGAAAATGCTGTCTACATATTTCAAGTATCCTTTCTTTTCTGATGCATTCCTGTGTGTATTTGTGTGTGAACGGCAGGCAGCAGAAGAGAATGAAACCTGCTGTAAACAAGAACCAAAAGCGGGTGGGAGGTTTGTTCACTATCCTGGATACAAATGAAGTAGTCGCATCTATTTCCGGTCTGAAGCTCGTTTGCTCTCCTCTTGACCTCTGTTGGAATAACACTGTGAATAAACAAACAGGACTCTACATTCACAGCTAGCTTTTGTAAGTTATTAGATATGCCAGTTTCTTTCATATAACAGTATTGTTTTTGAGAGTGTGAGTTTTCTTTCCTCTTGGCTTTTTTCATCCCCAACATTACACGGACTATTGAGTAGTGAACACATCAGGGTAAACTGTATAAAAGCATTAATTTCAGCTTGTGGGAACATCTCAAAGTGTTAAGCTTCTGCTCAACATTACAATAGTTTGTGTATTTCTGTCAAATGTCTATCAAATATCAACCTATTTTATCCGAATAAATTATGCCTTTATTTGAGATTTGCTGTGTCAAAAAAAAAAAAAAAGTGAAAGTGTGACAGTCACCAGTAAGCTGCATTTGATTCACTACAAACGGTTATTAAAGTAGAGACACTATTATAGTTTTATAATAATATTTTGAGTAATAATGTTTTAGTTTTTATATTTTTTGTTTTCATTTTAATTTAACTATTAGTCATTTTGTTGTTTGTGTCATAAGCTTAAAATGTCTGTATAGTTTCCATTAATTGTTATTTCAGTTTTAGACTTAGTTATTTTAGTACAGAAATGTTGAGTTGGCAATAAGCTGAAGTGAAAAAAGTTAGTTTCAGTTCATTTTATTTTTTATTGCAAGGAACAGAGTTTGTTTTATGGTTTTAGTTATCACACACACACACACACACACACACACACACACACACATTACCTTGAATGAGAGCCATGTAGACATTTTATATATTAACATTTATTATATTTTAATTGCAAATCCATTAAAATATTCCTTTATGTATAGATTGAAGTACTTTTTTTTTACAACAAAACCTTACACAAACAATAAAAATGCTAAAACATATAACAGCTCAATAAAAAAAAAAAAATAAAGTTCTTTATGCAAAGACAAATATTGAGTAATCCAATTTCAAGTCAGCATATTTTTTTCGGGTTTCTCTGAAGTGGTGTAACTAATTGCAAGCTGACCTGAACTCATGTGTCGGTCTCTGATGTGGTAAAGATGTTTCAGTTTTGCTTCTCACATCGACTAAGAATAAAAGTAGAAAAGCAGAAGAAAATGTATCTCTACAAACATGCACACTATTAAATAGGTGAAAATTTTACAGATGTGGCAAGAATCTTAAGAGTAAAATAATAATCTGACAACCATGACCCTGCATGCATGCAACATTTAATTTCCTCTTTTTCTTTCTCACATGAAATCTTTTGCGGCTTTACAAGAAACTGTGCATGATGTAAAACAGAAAATGCCATTACTTAACATTGTAATATTCATAATGTGAATGGCCAGAGATAATCTGTTATTAGTGAAGTTTCGGAGTGCTGTAGATCACTTCTTCTCGTTCAAGAGGACGGCTCTGAGAAGGATTAAATAAAACACAAGACAGAGTGAGATTCATTTCAATAAGTCAGTGATTTAAAGCATTGAGGCCACTACATTATGCATTTCCACTGATAATTTCATGAGATCAAAAAGATTATTCATATTCTTGCAAAAGGAAATAGGCTATCTTTTATGTGCATTATTAGCAATGTAATAGTACTTACAATGGAGACCTGGTTTTGAACATGGTCTTCTGCTTTCTTGAAGACCACAGTGTCGTATGCAACAGTCATTGGACCTTCTGCCTGTGAAAGGAGAGAGAAAAAACAACTTTAAAAGATTATTTAGATGGAATGAGTGTTATGCAGTGCACATGCCTGTTAACACCAAGAATGATAACTATATTAACGTCCACACCAACGGACAATAACGTTCTGCAGTTAAGGATTGCCAGGTCTGGGGGGGGGGATTCACCCAATTGATAATCAAAACTAGGCCAAAACTAGCCTAATCGTATTTTTTTCCTAGGTTTTCCCCTCCGACGAATTTGTTCTTGAGAGATAGCTTTAACCCGTGGCAACAGTCTAAAAGTAGCCCAATTCCACACTAAAACTGCGGACTTGGCACTCTTTAAAGTCTAGTGGATTCTGATTGGTTGTTAATGTTTTTATCTTTCTGGAAGTGATTCCACTGTGTTGTTATCTTTGTAATTGTGGTGTGAACGTCTGTATTCTCATTGAATTAGAACGTGATCTTCCGTGGTGAGAACAGGTCTTTAGTCTGACGTGGACATTTTAAGGCCTATAAACACATACCACAGAATAGACGTCAGGTCTTCGTTTGGACAAAGCCCCATCTTAAAATAGGAAGAATCGTATTACAAAACCACAAGAAACCTAAAGTTCCAAAATAATATATAAATGAGAAAAAATAAGTGATATTCATGGGGAGTTTTCACCAAGGTAATGTAATGCGACAGTGCAATAACTCCTGTGAAATTGGATTTGAGGCATTAGCAGTGGAATAGTGCTTTGAATTGAATATATAAGTGTTAGAACTGACTGTGTTTTTTAATAAGCCTCCAGATTACTAAAACCAGCATCAGTAACAGAAGCAGCGGCACAGCAGTATAGAGGAGGAGAAAAATCCAGTGCATCTGGTCAGTAGAGCCGCCAGGAGAGCAGTTGCTGTCCTCCGGATCATTGCTTGCTGTTTGGTTTCTGCATATGGAGCTGTTATTACAAAATTGAATAATTTGATGGGTTTAAAATGTGAATATGAACCTAATTAAGAAAAGTTGCTTTTTAATCAGTAGGTGTCAAAATATTTTTACCTCTTAACTAAATATGAGATTATGTGTACCCCTGGTTATCTGACTTGATAAATTCAAGATGTACTTACGGAAATAGACCAGCATCATCACTTTCAGCTGATTCTGCACCACTGTTTGAGTTTATTCTGATATCTAGAACTGTAGAGACACTTAACACTGATATCACCACCTTCATGTCCAGATACACTGCTGTTCACCACAGACACATCAGGAGCTGAACACACACAGCAAAAACTTTGAGTTAAATATTCTATATTAAACAGAACAATATAGTGAAATTGTGAAAAATAATGTTAATGCACCACAATAACTTATTTACCTGATTTAACGGTTACATACAAATATTTTTTGTCATCTGGGTTTGCTCGAGAGCCAATCTCCACAGCACACCAGTAAAATCCAGAGTCTGAGGATGTCAATTTGTTGAGTTTCACAGTAAAAATATCGAGGGCCGGATAATCGGTTATTGTCCGTTTCCCTGTAGCATTTGCACGGGCTGTAATTTGGCAAGAATGCCAAAAATACCCTTCACACCAGTATTTTGAGTTTGGTTTATACTGACTGTTATACAGACAGGGGATTGTAATGCTTCCACTTTCTCTCAGAGTTACATGATCTAATGTCTTCATGCTCAAAGTTCCTGTAGGTAACACAAACACACGTTTGTTTCTGTGAATTGTGGGGACTTTCCATAGACTTCTTTTACTTTTATACTGACCAAACAATATTTTATCCCCTAACCCTAGAACTACCCCTTACAGAAAACCTGTTTGCATTGTTACACTTTCAGAAAAACATCATTTACTATTTTAAAGAATTTTTTTCCCTCGTGGGGACTGCAGGCCGGTCCCCACAATGGTCAAAAATTTCAGGTTTTACTATGCTTGTGGGGACATCTGGCCCCCACAATGTAGCATAAACAAGTACACACACAAATCCACATCACCTAAATTTTCTTTTTGGGTTCCAAAAAAATTTCTCAAACTAATGCTGTAAACTTTTATTTAGTATATCATTTGTGACATGTAAACGTGAATGAATCTGATATTAAGACAGACTGAAACACTAAAATAAAGGTTTATGTATCAAATATTTTCTGATATTTTTTTTTTATTATATTGCTGTTAAATTGATAATAACAACAATAATTGCAGGGAAATGCACAGGACTCATTTTTCCCATATGACAAGAATCAATGTTGCAAACTTGTGGTTACTGAAACATTTATAAAAGTTGTTGAAAGGTTTCTTATGCATGTGAAATTGAAGCAGATTTTCTTTGCAATGAAGTTTTACACAGCCTGATATAAACTGAACCGCACTCTAAATTGGAATATATTTAACACAGTTCTATTTAATGACCCTGTTGTGTCCTTAGGAAGTAAATCCAACAAAATATACAACGTAACACAGGGTAGTTTATAAAAACAAAGGTAAAACCATTTTTTGAGGGTAGAAAGTATTTTCTGTGTCTTACCTGCAGTGTAAAGTAAAACACCAACGAGAATCAGAGGACGAGCCATGTGATGGTCAGAGTGAGTAAAAGGCAGACACTGAAATGAACATTTCACGTCCTTCCCGAGAGAAATAAGCAGTTCCTGTTACTGCAGTCACTGATGTAATAAAAACTGAAGTCAGCAGAGACCTCACAGACAAATATGGTGCACACACACACATATTGCTAGATCACATCCTTATTGCAGTAATGGTTTGACACAAGAGTATTTGTCTAAATATACACAAAAATATACAAGGTATCATAAACGTACAAAACAATGGCATTACTAATTAACTTAGTGACCATTCATAATAAAAAGGGACAGTTATTGTCATATTATAGGCCATGTTTATGTGCTTCATGCATCAAATCTGAACTAGACAGAATATACACACGTTGAGCGGCAAAAAAATAAAATAAAATCATTCAGTGTGTCCAAATATGAGGATTAATTTTATTTATCAGAGCATTGTATTAACAGGACATGTCCTATAAAAACATGTCCAAGGTTCAAATCCAAAGCAATTCAACAAGCAAAATAAATAATGACAAATGCAAATAGGAGTCATTTGCATAAGAGACTACATACACAAAAGACTGTTCCTTTTAACTATTCGGGTTCATATAGGGGGCATGTGTTCGTTCAGGCATTAAACAGACTCTTAAAGTGTAGTTTTTCATGTTGAAGGACAAACTGAAATTTGGGACCCATCAAAATCAAAGTTTCCAGGCTTAAGAAAAGCCAAAAGACCTAACTCAAAGAGATTGGCTCTTTGACTCTCAAAACAGAATGAAAAGAAATAAAAACCCAAAAGAACAAAGGGAAGCATTTCCTACAACTTTGCCTTTCCATGCTTCTGTTTTTCAGAAACACACAATACAACTCTCTCAATAAAGCCACACTCATTCCCTCAAAAGCACCACACACAGCACAAGCCAACAAAAACAAGCCAAAAAAAAAAAGAAATCAGAGGTTTTTTATAGCTTCTAATTAACCTGAAACACCTGCCTCCACTAATTAGCTCAACCCACATCATTAGCCCATTAGAGAGCTGTATGTCCCATACATCACCAGAAGAGGGAGACAGAGACTCTACAGAGACTGAATTCTGCAGAAATCCACTGCACCAGATGTGGAGAAATAGGCTGCCATATTTTTGAGTGTGACCCATAATGACTAATCTTGCGAATGCAATGCCTGATCTTCACAAAACATGGTACACATGTACAAGCCTGAAAAACATGCCAAATTTGATGAGTTTCTGCTGCTCAGTGGGCTTTGATCATATTCAGTTTGTATAATATATAGTTTTTAAATATCTCAACTCTGTTTTTAAAATGTAATCATTTTGAAGAGATGGCAGTAGATGTTAGCATATAGGGCCATAGCAGGTATCCATAGCAGGTTCAGAAGAGATAGAAATGACTTCTGCAGCAGCCTAATCTGCAGAATCTGCAAAATGTTAATTATTTTACCAAAACAAGAGGGATCATACAAAATGCATGTTAATGTTTATTTCGTACTGACCTGAATAACATATTTCACAAAAAAAGACATTTACATATTAGTCCACAAAAGAAAATAATTGTTGAATTTATAAAAGTGACCCTGTTCAAAAGTTTACATTGATTCTTAATATTTTGTTGTTATACCTGAATGATCCACAGCTGTTTTTGTTTTTGTTTTTTTGGTTTAGTGATAGTTGTTCATTCATTAGAGTCCATTGTTTGTCCTGAACAGTTAAACTGCTCTTCTTCCGAAAAATCCTTCAGGTCCCACAAATTCTGTGGTTTTTCAGCATTTTTGTGTATTTTAACCCTTTCCAACAATGACTGTATGATTTTGAGATCCATCTTTTCACACTGAGGGCAACTGAGGGACTCATATGCAACTATTACAGATAGTTCACTGATGCTCCAGAAGCAAAAACGATGCATTAAGAGCCAGGGGGTGTAAACTTTTGTACAAATGTGTACATTTTTCTTATTTTGCCAAAATATATTCTTTCTTTTTTTTTAATTTAGTACTGCCCTTCAGAAGCTACAGAAGATACTTACATGTTTCCCAGAAGACAAAATAAGTGAAATTTACCCTGATTTTCTAATTCAAAATGTTTTCAGCCCCTGGCTCTTATTGCATTGCGTTTCCTTCTGGAGCATCAGTGAGCGTTTGCTTCTGTAATAGTTGCATATGAGTCCCTCAGTTGTCCTCAGTCACAGTGTGAAAAGATGGATCTCAAAATCATACAGTGATTGTTGGAAAGGTTTCAAATACACAAAAATGCTGAAAAACCACATAATTTGTGTGACCTGGAGGATTTTTCTGAAGAACAGCGGGCAGTTTAACTGTTCAGGACAAACAAGGGACTCATGAACAACCAACACAAAACAAAACAAAAACACAGCTGTGGATCATTCAGGTAACAACACAGTATTAATAATCAATATGCAAACTTTTGAATGGGGTCATTTTTATAAATTCTAAATAACATTTTGCAGATTCTGCACGTTGTATGTAAACTTTTGACTTCAACTGTAAATACGAATGTATTATAAATACATTTTCTAACAAAATTCCTTAGAATCTTTTATATAAATTCTTACAATTTGTAAATTAATTTTCTTCAATATTTAAACAGCATTTAAACAAATAGCTTGCTTCTCTTCATTTTCTTACAAAATGTATTATGAACTTCCTTACAAAATTGTCTTAATCTCTTATATATTTTCTTATTGAGCATATATAAACATAACTATTTCTTACAAAATTGTCATAATTTCTTATGCATTGTGTGGCCTTCTTGAGCATCAGTAAATGTTTTCACCTTTTGTAATAGTTGTGTATAAGTCCCTCAGTTTTCCTCAGTGTGAAAAGATTGATCTCAAAATCATACAGTCACTGCTGGAAAGGGTTCAAATATGCAGAAGATGCTGGAAAACTGAAGAATCTGCAGGAGCTGGAGGATTTTTCTGAAGAACAGCAGGCAGTTGAACTGCTCAGGACAAACAAGGGACTCATGAACAACTATCACAAAATATAAAAACAGTCGTGGAACATCCAGGAAATGACACATAGTATTAAGATTCAAGGGTATGTAAACTTTTGAATGGGGTCATTTTTATAAATTCAGTTATTATTTTGTCTTGTGGAGTATATGTAAACATCTGTTATGTGAAATAGCTTATCCAGGACAGTACTAAATAAAAAATAACATGCAATTTTCATGATCCCTCTTATTTTGTTTCAATTATTAACATTTTGGATGTCACCTATTATGAGATAAATAAAAGCAGTTAGAATAAAATGCAATTTTCTATTGAATTTAATCATCTATAATAACATCTAATTCCCAAATTTATTATTCTAACACTTGTCCAGAACGTCCTGCTCCAGCTGTTCCTCAGCAGCGGGACAGACTTCAGAAGTTGGTGCTATAATATTATGAATCATGAAATAAATAAGTAAAATATAAGAGTGGCTCTTCATTTAGAAGAGCTTCTAAACTTCTCCAAACATTGTGAACGAATTTGTTAAAACTCCAACATATTAACTAATTTGGTTATGACTAGACAGATCATCACCTGATCAAAAACATTGTAATTAACTTCACATAGGATCCTTAAACTGTCACTAATGACAGCATTGTTTTGGGACAGTGAAATCAAATCAACCATTAATCAATACTTCATAATAACATCTCTATGTGATTGTAGCATCGGTAAATCTCCAACATGATCCCGTCTCACGCCGGTTCTTCTTCTCAGCCCGATCCAGGTTGTATTTTGCAGACACAAACAGAGAGCGGGCTTCTTCCAGAAACTCTTCTTCATCTTTTTTCTCCTCTTTCTCTGGCTCCTTTCTCCCTCCATTAATCTCAGCATCAGCAGCCCCAACAGGCACCTCATCAAGCCAATGAGGATGCTGGTCCTCCGCCGTGTTGGAGGTGTATTTGAGAAGCACACAGGGCTTGTGTACAGACTCCATATCAGTCACTGTTTGTGGTCCTGAACTTAAATTTCCCATGATAAGACCATTCGTCACTCGCTAATAATCATTTTAAATAGAATTGTAATGTAATAAAGGCATGCACAGAGGTGCAGAATTTCCAAAAAACAATAAAAAACAGTCGTCCTGTTTAATAGCAGAATTCCTGTCTGTGGTTGATAGGTTATATATTTTGCTGTATCATGTATATCAGTATATCGGCCAGGCTGCTTAAAGTTTTTGACACATTAAAGCGATAAAGAAACATTCATGAATGGGAAAATGTGGAAACTGACCACCAGGTTATTGCTCTGTTGCAGGACAGTAGATGTGATTTTGCAGGACACGTGTGTGTGAGATACAGGTGCATCTCAATAAATTAGAATGTCGTGGAAAAGTTCATTTATTTCAGTAATTCAACTCAAATTGTGAAACTCGTGTATTAAATAAATTCAATGCACACAGACTGAAGTAGTTTAAGTCTTTGGTTCTTTTAATTGTGATGATTTTGGCTCACATTTAAGAAAAACCCACCAATTCACTATCTCAACAAATTAGAATATGGTGACATGCCAATCAGCTAATCAACTCAAAACACCTGCAAAGGTTTCCTGAGCCTTCAAAATGGTCTCTCAGTTTGGTTCACTAGGCTACACCATCATGGGGAAGACTGCTGATCTGAATTTGAGTTGAATTACTGAAATAAATGAACTTTTCCATGACATTCTAATTTATTGAGATGCACCTGTATATTTTTTCATTAGTTGGAAAGCATATTTGCCATCACATTATAATAAAGTGTCAAATTGCCAAAGCTTTGTTAACTGTGACCGGCTCTGTGCCTGGCACTCAGTTTGCCCAGGTGCAACATAATTTACGGGTCCTATTCAGTCTAATGAACAGACTATAGGTAAAAATCACATTTTATACTAAAATAACTTTCCTTAAGTAGCGAGTTTGTTTTCCTTTATTAAACTATGCAAACATTAAATGCGTTTTACTGGATTCAGAGCATCTTTAACTGTATTCATCAACTTTTCAGGAGGTTCACAGAATACAAA